CTGTGAGGTCTCAAAATATGCTCGCCCCACCTTTAAGTAATCACAACCTCCGCACCGGACACCACTCATCATACAAATGGAGCATTGAGGCGAATTTTTTATGTCGAAGGAACAGATAAAGTATTGATTTGAGAGCACATGAAGTTGAAACTGAGTGTTTTCTGAATGTCCTACTTAAAACGCATATGTTTAACTTGGCGGCATCGTTGTTTTTACCTGAGGTTCTCGGCAAGTGGGAAAGAACGTGGGATTTTTCACCTCCGCAACAATCACAAATGCAGTAAAAACTGATTAATTGCTCTCAGTTGTCTAACCTATTTAGGCTGTGAATAACGGTGCCGCGCCCTGACAAACAGGAATTTTGAATTACACGCAGCAGTAGTGCCACGCAATTCATTGAAAGGCTACGGCACAGGCGTGTCTATAGTCAATCAGACTGTCAATACCTGATATCGGATTTGGCGCCATTCGTCTCTGCGTAAACACGTATTTGTCATCCTTGACTAGTTCGTGTAGAAAATCTCACGCCTTCAACTATGCCGACTGCTCTGTGCTACACGTGCAAATTTTGTCGCCATGCAGAATTGCATTTGGGCATCGACTAGAACGCGGGCTGCTGCTAAGCCACGTCTGTAGCACCTACTACTATTTATCCTTAAGTAGGTGACACTTTGAGTGACATCTATACAAGAGATCAATTTACCAGTGCTGTAATTCAAATGAAAGAGATAATAATTCTCAAGTAAATTTATCTAGCGTTTAAAACAGTCTTGCTTTGCGTCGCTGACGATTCCAAAAGGGTGGTTTTTTCTTTTGGTTAGAGGACAATGCATTCATTTTTGCCAAGAATAATGTCTACTAAGATTTAACATCTCAAGCTTTAACTGCACACTAAATTTTTCTTGCATTTTTAAACCTGAGAAAATGTAAGAAAGTACTACTTACCTACTGGTTTTGGATTGCACAGCCCTATAGACGAAACCGAAAATTCGGATACAATTCCCCATTTTCAAAGATCTGTATATTTCGTCCAAAAACTAGTAAATAACATTTTAGTTCACTAAGTGGTTGAAATCTGATGTTAGTGTCTTTTGACTGCAATTTAAACGGAGTATGTTCAGGATAACTTACACGGATGTTAACGCTGCCAGACAGTCAATTTGAAGGGTAAGGAGTTCACCCACAAAACCTTCCCCTGTTATTATATCCGTTCCCACACTCCTTCGGACATTCTAAAAGCCGCATAAATTATCTCCGATCACCCGCCTCATGTGAAAGTAATTTAGCCATCCAAGAGAAGACTAAAATCGCAGGGTGAATCGGTCTACTGCCTGCGTGACCATTAAAAGTCTTACACGTTATTGCCACTGGTGTTGACGATGAGGCAGAAAAGAATTGCTATTTTGGTTAGCCGTACTAGTACCATAGTTCACTGCTTCTTTTCTAAAGGTCACAATTCTGAAAAAAAAAAACATTAAACTTCCATTTGCAAGGGTTTTGTTTCGAGTTCCACTTGCACTGGGCCGAAACGCGTTGCAGTCTCATCTGCCCTCCCTCGAGAAGAGATTCCCCAGTCCCTAAACAAATGGTAAAATAATATAGGTAGAGACGCTGTTCGCATTTACCGACAATAATTGAATTGCGCAATTAAACATCCCCAAGGTTGCGGAAACCGCGATTTGTTAACTTTGTGGCTGCATGCATGCGTGCGCGGGTGCGTCCAGGTACCCCCAAAGGCTGGCTGGAGCGACCTAATTGGTGCGCCAGGTGCCCCCATCTGTTTTACCCACTTTTCCCCCCTCCATCCTCAATTCTCCTTCAAATCTAGTTTCTCTCTTTCCAAAATATGCGCGCGCATTTTATGGGGAAAATGTAAAACACTTCTGTCCTCATATTTTGAAGTAGACTTGTTTGAAAATCCCACTGAGAATTTAGAAAGTAGCGGTCATATCGGCAGTATTAATTTGCTAATAAAAGGTTGAACTTAAATTGTGGGTGTCGTTATAGCACTCCGAAACCTCCCGGAAAAAGCAAAGAGTTAAACAAACAACCACAGGAATACGTAGCCCCTCTCCTCTATTTGGCGTCGTCCCCAGGCCAACCGTGCCAGTCATCCACCGAATTTGCGTGCATGTAAGAAGATATTCGACAGCAATGTCACTTATTTCTTTGGGCATTTGCGTTGGATCTGAAACTTCGTGTGGTTTGGGAACTGCACTGAGGGAAGGGGATCGTGCCAGCCGTCTCGTCTGTCCGTCAGTAATCGTAAGAATACTGGCCTAGAAGATTTCGCGTCTATTCATCCTCACTACTTTGTTCACACTTTAGTCTTGCCCAGACATATCTATCTGGATCCTATCCAGCCAGTAGTGAGGTGGTGGAGGTATCACGTGCTTAATTAACCGGCACCATACAGGTGCCATAGACAGCTACGTAATGAACTTTTCCAGATGGTTCACGGCTAGTGTCACTTGTGTTGTTAACGACACTTCTAGCGAACACGGGTCCCAGGTAGTTGCCGAAGTTTGACCCCATATTCAACTCTTCTGTTTGGAGGTCGTTACCAACTTTCCCATCCGCCGCATATGCACTTCTTCCGATCCGATAAAGTTTGGAATTCAGAAATAGAAATTAGGGTAGTCGGGGTTTAGGATCGGGTTCGCTTTCCGCTGCCACTATTGTAGCGCCCTGAGTCCTTTGTAAAGACGAAATGGAGCATGATACTTGAGCAGAAGGTGTTTTACCAACGCATAGAAGAGGTAGAGGCGCTACTGGTATGGCTCAGTTGCCATAGCGCCCAGTGGAAGTATAAGGACGGTGCCTCAAATGCCTGCAAAACCTAAACGAAGAGTCAAACAAACAAACAATGTATTACATCATGTTGTAATGTTTAAGACTATTTGAAGGGATTTATAGTAAAATGAAGTAATGTCGCCTAAAATAACTCGTACTCTCTTTAATCTGATTAAATTCATCCAAGAGAACCTCTTAAGCTTTATCAATAGCGCCCTTAGACTACTTTGTCCAGTAAAGTGACTTCAGAGCTTTGTTGATGAGCTTACGTCCAATTAAAACCTTTAAAATTTCCACACATGGGCATGGACGCATCATCTCATTCTGCTGCTATACCATGTTAGGTGCAAAGCAATTTGTTAACCTCTCCACAAAGATACTAGTACGTTTAATAATTGGGGAACTGTGTCGCATTATGGCATTGGATACCTCCACTTACACATGAACGGGTGCTTGGTGCGTTTCCCTGGTCCTCCAAAATATCAGGTGTCACTGAGTTGAGAGCGTGCGTACAATTCTGGAATATCCGAATTTCTATTTCGAGAAGGTTGGAGAGAGACCTTAATGCTGATAGCCCTAGTCAAGCTAATGCTATGGATAAGTAAGTAGACTAGCTTCAGAGATGAATTGCAGTTCGTTTAGCGAAGTCAGAGAAGGCGTGAATCCTGTCAGATAGTCTTTCGTGCCTGTATGACACTATTCTCGAGACATTTCGAATGAATTAACTTTTTAAGGAGCTTTTGGCAGTGCAACTTATAGTAGCAGATCTGTTTATGACCAGCTATTCAATCCTCACTACAACAGCATGCAGTTCTGTCCATATTGTTCGGAGTCGTCCTTTCCAGTCCTCCTGTGCTTCTGCAATATGGCTACCTTCAGACTCTCATACTACATAGCGGCTAAGGGTAACTTCATTACCATAACATCATTGGGACACCGATCTGGACCACCGGTAGTGAAGTAGTTTAGTGCCAAATCGTGAAAGCACAATTTATTACCAGGAAAGTGTGCGTGTAAATCTTATTTCCTTGCATCTGTCACTCCTGTGTGTTCTCAGTTGCTATCGTGCTCCCTTAGTGGAGTTGCCAAGGTGGCGGAAGTGTTGTTACTAGACCCTGTAATGAAATGTAAAGGGAACACCCCCCTTTACCTGGTAACCTCCCGCTTGGTGTGCGTGCGTGCGTGCGCGTCTGTGGAGGGGAGAGCAGGCAAGAGGTGCCAGAGCTAGCACCAGGAGCAGCAGCAGTAGCAGCCAGACGATTTTTTTGCAAGTACTTCCCTAGTCTGAATAAGGGACGTCTCGGTTGGCACCTGCTACTAGCCCCGTCAGAGGACTACGTCATGCGAAATTCTATACCACCCAACTATCACTCCTTACTCATTACTAAGTACGTCACGCCTTTTTTTGCAACCGAGGTGGAAAAAAGCAAACCCAATTTACAGCATTGTCTCCGAATTGCAACAAAGAATCTGTTTTTTATGCGAAGAATTAACTTATGGGAAAACATTTCCCAAATTTGACAACTGAACACTTTACCAATCAGTATCGGTAATCGATACCGGTGAGCGTGGTAAAAATTGATGAGCAGATGACATGTGTGGGCATTCAGAAGGGATACGTAAGGTTCTGGCATAAGATTGAGAGGCTTCATTCCACCAACAACAAAAGCAAAACCAAATTGGAAATTTGGAGTCTGGGATGCACCCATGTAGGACCTTATGAAGTGGCACGGAAAGGTCATGCGAGCGCTTCGAAAGAAATGCCAATTTTTAAGGGAATTTTGGGTTGACTGATTCTTGGTGTGTGGTCCGATCCCCGTGGTGCATCAGGCTAACCTGCCCATTTGTCCCTCTAAGTGCCACCACATCACCATTATTGATGTCTATGCAAAGCAGAGGGATGGGGAAGGATGAACAAGGATTAATATACAAATTTGGCCGTTAAATATTATTGTTATACATTATTTAGTTTGATGATAAAATACCTCACCATCACTCTCCGTAGAGTAGCCGAATCTTTCCACAATTCGCTTCAAAGTCTCATCTACTAAAGCTGTTAGGGAAATAAGAATGTGATCGAGTCGTCATTAGAGCCTCAAAGTGGATTAGCAACACTAAAAGCGTATTTTTGAGAAAGGCGTGACTAATAGAGGCCATGGGGCTGTAAATACATTTGAGGTGTGACCGAAGCTGTCCACACGAGAACGCTGTGTATCAGCATCTGTAACTGGAGAAGTAGGCAGCATCGATGGCCGCGTTGTTGGACCTTCTCCCCCTCCTGCCGCCGCTGCCGCCTCTCCCCTACTCGTCACCGTCTCCGTCTCCCCTTTCTCGCTCTCGAGACAACCTATCATCGCTGTTCGCTTCTCCGATTTCATCCACTCACTCACACGCTCCCTCGTTCACCCTCTCTTTCGCTGGTTCATTCACTTACATGCTCCTCCATATTTTTTGTTGCACCGGTGTCCTATATCTCATTCTAAAGGTGATGCAACCACCACCACCCCCACAAACACGAGTGTATCGTGAAGGGGATGGCTCAATCATGTATAAAAAAAAATAAACGAGTTGTAGATTTCTATCAGTTGAGCGTTTGTAGTAGGTTAGCATGCTATTACCCACCTGTTGTTGATGGTTAATTCATAGATCTTTGCTGGTCGAGAATGAAGCAGAGGAAATTCTACATGTTAAACACCAAAGCCTAAAGGAGAGCTACATGTCCCTGAGAGAACATGCGAAGTTGCGCAGTGAGAAATTAAAATTTTAGCTCTCTGAGATGGAATGCGGTGGGAAGCAGTTTACTTGGTACCAGACTTTTTCACTCGTGAATAATATTAACCACTAAGCTGTACTTTTATAATAGGGTAAAAGGATGGGGGTCAATGCTCTTTAATGATTGCTGAAAAAGAAGTCCAAATTACGCTAAGGCGGGGGGGGGTGTCTGCCCATCGAAGCCCACAGAGGTTGAAATGTCAGTTTCGATTATTTAGACTTACCATTTTACTCATATTTTTAAACCCTTCTACGCCTTATGGACCCATGAAATGCTGATTATATACTCAGAAATTACTTACTACTTCAGGCAGGTAAATCAAATGTTAGTTGCTATCACATCGATAGCATTTTAGCACCACTTTCTGAATAGAAAGATGGAAGGGAATGATCGCACTAATGACCACAAACAAGGAAGCTTCGGGGAACAGGGGCAAGCAAGAAGGTGGGTTATACAAAAAGATGTGCGTGCCTTACGGGTCTAGATCCATTCTTCGAGACGCAGGACATGCTTTGGATCGCTCGGTTGATGTGGCCAGAATTACCTATTGTGTGCCACCATTGAGGCCAGCAGCAGGTCTCAGAAATGGGATCTGCTGCTGATCATTTGAAAGGCGGTCAAACTGCTGTCAGTCACCCTCCTAAGAGAGGATAAAAGGGATAAAGCTCTATGTGAACTCTTGCCATGTGTCATAACTCCTATTAATACATGGCTTTATCAAAATGTACTATTCGACAACCAATTCCGTGCAGGCGCAATAGCCTCAATATTTTTTGAGATCACTTGGTAGTTTTTAGTTGGGTTGTATGGCCAATTTTTGTAGTGATTTAAATATGGATCATTATGAATAAGAGAAGGAAACAAAATAAAATAGCACACTTTACACATACGGACTTAGGAAAATGTTAAAGCTAGTTGCATTGTAAATACATAAATTGTATCGATGATAGTGTACTGTTGACCAGCTTCCAATGCACTGAGTCGAAAGCACTTTTAAAATCCCTCAAAAAGTAACGGATTATTAGCATTCTGATTGGCAATCTATCCTATTTAAACCAACCAATCACTACTGTCCTTACTGCGTATTCTAATCTGATTGGCTGAAATGGCAAATAAGCGCACTTATGCTATAGTGGACATGAGACAAACAGGTTTGGAATCAAATGGATCGGTTCGTGCTAATGCCACCGCCTCCTCCACCATCTCCTCCCCAAAACTCTGAGTACCAGCATCAAAAACGTCAGCAACAGACACCTGCGAGACCAGCTAAAAGACGTGGACGAAAGCCTGGCCTTCACAGCAGTGCAATCCAACGCAACGCTGCCAATGCACGCGAGCGATCTCGCATGCGAGTGCTCTCGACAGCGTTTATGGAGTTGAAAAGTGTCCTGCCCTGGGTGCCACGGGATACGAAGTTATCAAAGTTGGATACGCTAAAATTGGCCTCGGGATATATCACCTATCTTAAGCGAATACTTGATGATCCAGAGGCTCAAGACTCCTTGTCTACCGTCTCTCCGCCGTTCACCGACAGCGATCCCCTCTTTGGTACTATGATGAAGGGATCAACTTCTAGAATGAAGAATTCACATGAGGAGCAGCTCTTACTGCAGAAGTTGGAGAGAAAAAAGCCACAAATCCAATACACCTGTGTTGATGCTCAAGTGGTTCAGACATGTGTAAGTCAGTGATAAAATTGAGGCGTAATTGGATGTGCTGGAGTACAGTTACATCGGAGATAGAATAACACTGATAGCACATCTTTATTTTTTGAGGCGATAAAGATTAGGCTGCCCGTGAGTGAAGGAATGGTACATAATCATCGAGAAGGGCATGGCGTGGTTACAAGAACTGCCAGCACTTCGACAGGTCACTATCATGCCTCAAATGTAGGATAGTCATCAAGTTGTTACTTACATGTTGTTAATAACACTATTTTAACTTCAACAGCCGACATGGTGGACCTGGTACGATGGCTCCATGGGGTATTTCAATGACCCTACCTACGTCCCCCTTGCCGCCTCCGCAACCATTACCACCACCGACAGCCTCATCGTCTCTTCTTCCTCCGCATCATCATCCTCGCAACCCTGCACCTCCACCATCACCACCTCCTCTCAGCAAATCACAAACAGCCTTCCCTCTGTCGTCTTTCAACGTCATTTTTTTCAGTGATTTTAAATCCTTCCACTAGCCGAGGTTGATTGCGCCAATCCCCAGGATATTTAGAGTACTCAATGTGTAATGACACTCTATTGTACTTGTTGCTAAGATTCTCTAAATAAAACGATATTTCAGGCCTGGGTATAAAACATACTAAGGTGTCCACAAGATTGATGAACAGATGGTGGGGTGACACAGCAGCCTAGCTCTTCCAACAATATCGAGGGTGACCTCTGAGGTGGACATTTAGCGTGTGAGTCATTTCACTTATTATGAGGAGCTCAAGGTGATAAATTTTACAGAACTAGACACCCGCTTCAGTCTTTAAACGAGCCTGCCCGAAACGATCTAATTGCTTCTATCTCTAGCTACTGAGGTAGTCAAATGAATAATTTCTTCGAGTTGGTCTTTACCCTACTTTCCAAACAATTTAAGAACATATACTCTTCGGACAATGACTGTAAGCACCTACCTACCGGGTTAATGATATAGTATACTGGGTGGATCTCTTGCACCAGTGCCTTGTAAAGACGCATCGAAAGGGAGCAACGAATGAATTGACAGCATGAATTGTCGTCTGATTGCTGATCCGAGGTATTCTTAGTGCTATAAAGCCTGTGCTGACAAAACTTCCTCCTCGATACGCAACTGGTCTTGGTGACAACAAGAAGGGCAGAAGTAGCACAAAATATTGTTGCAAAACAAGTAGAATACAGTTCAGGGTATACTGCAAAAGTGGAGGAATTAGGGTCTTTGAGAAATGCTTTCAAGTGTGCACCCAAGTGAGAAAGAAAGTTCATTTAAATAATGCGGAATTAATTAGGCACGCAGTGAGCTAGGACCAGTAGTGCAAATGCAAATTGCGCGGTGTTTGACCGCCTGTGTGATTCGAGGTGATGTCACTTCGAGGCTCACGAGGCCTCCCGGGTCTCTCGTCTTGATGTTTCCATGCTGCTACAGTTATTCTCTGCATGTGACGCGGCATGACACGACAAGGTGTATAGATGATCGGTGAGACATCGCTTGTGCACGTGTGCGTGGGTGTAGGTGTGCTCTAGGCGTCAAAACACTCCTCCTCAATTCCCATATATTAAGCCCTAAACAAGTTAAAGAGATTTTTCTAACCTCACCAAATGTCTCCCATTCTGTATGAAACACCTCGGCATTCTATGGAGGCCACCGATCATCTTAAAATCAACAGACATAAATTTGTTTAGTTCACATCCTACAAGGACATTGGCTTTATCCCAGTGGGAGGAAATTGCATAAAAGTAAACATTCGAATTCATCTTTCGTGCCCGATCACAACATCAACTCGTACGATTGGCTCAACTTGCAAAAAGGATCATGATGTTGCTGATTTCATAGCCAGACTAGAGTAGTCGAACACATGCCTGAACTTATGTGAACTTATAAACCATAAATAAAAAACCTTTGCGCATGTCCATTGATGATCTAGTTTTAGCTAATTACTCACTTTAATCTCTTAATCCTCGAAAAACCATCATGTAGTTATACGGTAGCATGACAACAAAAATGTATTGCCATGTTGCATTCCGAATAATTTAAGTTCAGAAATTAAGACGCCCTCCACTCCAGGGAGTACGCGCTTGTGTAAATTAAAATAGATTGCTTAGTGTTGGCCGAACCGTTCGCCTCCATTGGAAGCTGCCTGAGTGAGTTACCTCGGGCCCGCATACAGCCCACTTCAACAGCGTTATGGTCAGTAGGGCTGTATTTCCTCTATAACAAATGTTATGAATTGTCCCAAGCCCACAAAAGCATTTCATAAAAAAATGGAACAGCCCTTTGATGCCATTTCAGGTTCTATTTGTTCAAAAAAATTAAAATTTTTTTTTATTACACAATGATCTACTAATTATAGTCTCAAAAAGTGGTAAGTGCATCAACAAAGTACTCACAATGCTGTAACTGCTTCCTTTTTGCAAGAGAAAACTTAGAAAATTGCCTCGATGGAAGCTAGAGTGTCAAAACACCTTAGTCAGCCACCCGCACAACATGTCATCAAAGTTGGCACGAACGACAAAATGCATTTCAAGACACCCAAAGGTAATCGTGCTTGCGCAATTTTGCAGAAATGTGATTGTCTTGCACAAACTTGTCTGAGTAACCGAGTAGCTGTCTACTTACGTAGTGACTCGTGACCCCTTGGAGGTCAATCACGCGACCTCCACCTGATTAATGGTCATTCCAACAGCCTTCCCTTGTGCTCCATGCAAGTCCTAACTTTACAGGGAAAAATTAAACATGCACATTTACCTCCACTTTGTTTCAATGACAGCTGCGAAAAATAAGCTGTAGGATGCTTTTAACATTCTTTCTAAACATTAACACCTTAAAAT